AGGGAGCAACGTGAGTTGCATGGCTTACAGGGAAGAAAAAGGCCCTGATTCCCCTTCATTAGCTGCAGCTGGGAACACAGTGTTTAAAAAGGAAAGCTGTGCACAGCAAGTTGTTGGGAGCAAATTGTGAATTTATTATCTGGTATTGTGGCTTATCTGTGTTCCTGGCGTCTTCCCAACTGTGTGAGTATTGGCGGCCTTTCAAGTCGGAAAGTCTTTCTCCTGCCCTGTCAAGTTAATTACTGCAGCTTTGTTTGTTTGGATTTTTAGTTACAGTCTGTATGTACCTTGTTTTGGACTGAATTTTCTACAATTAAAGGCTGTTCCTGGGAAAGTTTTTCTCCAGCTGAAGGTAACCTGGACATTGGGAGCAAAGTTGGAGATAATAAAGGGACTCTTCTTGCTTATTTGACTGTATTGCCTTTGTGCCATGCCCCGGGGTCATCACAGTTGCAATAGCCTGGGGTCATGCGATCTTTTGAGACCTTCTGATAATCAAAGTCCGTGGGAAAGCCAGATTTATTTAACAACTGGGTTACTAATTTAACAACGATAGTGATTCACTTAATAACTGTGGCAAGAAAAGTCATAAAATGGGGGAAAATTCACTTAACAGCCATCTCCCTTAGCAACTGAAAATTTGGGCTCAGTTGTGGTCATAAGCCGAGGACTACCTGTAAACGTCTTAACGGGATTCTGGAGGTGTTTTGTCATAGTTGTTTTCTGGAATGTCTATTTCAACGTCCCAAGCTAATTTATAATTTTTAATAATTATAATTCCTGCATGTTTCAGTGCGGCTTCTGACCAGAATTGGTTTATCCTACAATATTCTAGTTTGGTAATTTCTTTGGGTATGTTTTTTTACAAAGCTCTTTTCAAGAGTATTGCAGTTTATTGCACCTTCAAACATTTTGTTATTTGCATTTACTTCTCTTGTTTGGTATTGGAGAATAAAATAGGATTTTTAAAAATGCAGCTCATAGGAAGGAGGGAGGTCTCCTTGAAAATCAAGTTCTTTTGCTTGGACTTTGTGACTTTGCATTCGCTGCTGATGAATGTGGAACCAAATTAGCTTATTTAAACGCTCCTTGGATGTCAAGTTCAGAAAGCTTGCATTTGCAGCATTCAAAATCAGAGAACCTTCACTCAAATAATTCATTAACGGATTGTTATTTTAACTTTAAATTCAGTAGTATTTTATCTTTAAATGCATAAGTGACGGTTGCAAAATTATATGGAAAGCTGGGGTGTTATCATGGAATTTAACAAGTAGTTTTCTCCATAGCTTTGTTTTATTCCCTCATTGGTAGTAACTTTTTTGTGTAGAATGTACATCATTTGCCAAATTAGTACCTTCTCAAATTGTATCTAGATTTTTTTAGCTTTGTCTTGGATTAATGTTGGAACTTGAATAAAAAGAGGGAGTGGACAATTTCAGTCAAATAATGATTTATAACCAAATGAAGCCTTTGTTTCTTGCATTTTTCCAGCTTTCATCTCTAAACTCAGTACTGTTGAGTTCTGGAAAGTAAGTCTTTTACTGAGTTCATGTTCTCTTTGAACTAACTATGCCACTGAACAATAGAGCTGCTCATTGATACCAGAGGTGCTGCTGCTGTCATAACTGGGAAGGTAGAATAGATGTTGAGCAATGACAGCTTTTATGAAATTGTGGCTTTTCAAAAAACAGCAGTTAGGGCAAGAGTCTTCAAACTTCGCATGTTTAAGACTTGTGGACTTCAACTCCCAGAATTCCTGAGCTAACATGACTGGAGGAGGAATTCTGGGAGTTGAAGTCCACAAGTCTTAAAGCTGTCAAGTTTGAAGACCCCTGAATTAGGAGGACTGAAGTAGAAGGTAAGAATATCCAGTACAGTGTAATTCACCCACTGACGGCTGCTTTAAAACGTATCTGTTTGAAAAAAAGGATGAAGTATAAGAAAAAATTGGAGAAAAGGTTGAAGCAAAGACAAGTGGGTGAAAACAAGATCTTTTACCATGCTGGAACGCATCCTGTTTGGAGATTCTGTCTGCCTGTGTTATTGTTAGCAAGTCCTACATGACCAGTGGAACAAAAGGCAACACTTAGTCCTGCTCCCTTGGAAGTTAGACAGCCTTGGCCTCAACCAATTCTGAAAGTAGAAACCTCTTGCAGGCACTGATTCAAGGACACAGCTCTTGATAAGCTGGTTTTATGGAAAGTACTAGAAAAATCCTTAATGAAGACAGCCGACAGCTGCACAATGAAAGCTGCTCTCTTGGGGTGGGGAATATAAGAACCATTCTTTCTCCTTGCAACTATTTGCTTAGTGGCTGTTCAAAGTTACAACAGCACTGAAAAATGTGACTTATGACCATTTTTCACACTTATGACTTTTATAGCCCATGATCAAAATTATGTGGTTTGGCAATGGGTTCAAACCATTGCTTTGTCCCTAGGTCATGTGATTACCTTTTGCAACATTTTGACAAGCAAAATCAATGGGGAAGCCAGATTTTAACCATGTACTAACTTAACAACTGCAGTGATTCACTTAAGTACTACTGCAAGAAAGGTTGTAAAATGGAACAAAATTTAACAACTATCTTGATTAGCAATGGAAATGATGGCCGAATGTCAAGGACTACCTATACCTAGTTTTTGAATGATATTATGTGATAAACCTGACTAGGTTTACATACTGGGCTAAACCATAATGTGGTTAGTTTGGTTTTTCCTTTGTGCAAACCTAGTCATAGTATAGTCAATTTACTATCAGCCCTTCCAGGTAAACCAGTTGGGGAAACATGATGACCAAATGAACTACTATACTGCAAGGCGACATTAACAGAATCTTGCAAGACTAAAAGAACAAACTTGCTTCATTAAGGCAGGTCCTTCCTAAGTTTCTTTCTGATTATTCAGCCCCTGGAGGCTGCTGCTTCTCTTGTCTGATGGTTTCCTAGGCAGCATCTCTTCCCCTCATTCCCCAAGGTCATCCACACATTCCATTACAATGTGTAGTTGAAGATTAATGAAACGGATCTGGTGAATTTAGCCATCCTCCTGGGTGAATCTGATCCCTAGAATGAGCCATGAAAAAGCTCTCCCCTTGTGGAAACCGAGCTAGGGACTGGCTCATGAAACTGCTGCAATGGATCTTTCCTCCCTGTATTGTATCATAAACTTTTCCTCGTTCCAGCAACTTAGTGGGTGGGGATCAGCTTAATTCTTAATACCCACTCGGCATTTAGAAAGCTAATAGGTGCTTTTTAACAATAGCAGCCACCTCTGATGGATGTAAACCCTTGTGCCACGGAACAATCTATCTAAAATCTGAAAAAAGCTTGTTAGGTGGAAGATGAGATGGTAAGACGTGTCTAATTTAATCTTATCAACAATACTGTTCTTTCAGTATTGTTGCATGTATTGTCTGGGGTGGGCTTCAGCCGGTTTGTGCTGGTTGGCGAACCAATAGTTCTGACAATCGGCTGGTCCTGCCCCTTCCAGGAGTCCCCACACCACCCGTTTTGGATCCCAGGTAAGCGCAGGGATCGTGTGGAACCTGGGGAGGTGGAAAGGAGACCTCCCAGAGACTCGTGGAGGGCAAAAACAGGCCTATTTTGAGCCTCGAGAGAGCCTCCAGAGCCCAGGGAGGTGGAAAAGGGCTCTCCACAGTCTGCTTTCACTCCCAAGATCGTGCAGGAGGCCGACTAGGCCATGCCCACCATGGCCACGCCCACCCAGCAACCAGGCAGAGAACCAGTTGTTCAATTATTTGAAGCCCACCACTGTGTATTGTTTAGTATTTTGATTGATTGTTTACCTTCTTGACATTTTATTTATATCCCTCCTTTATTATTTTCACAAATAACTCAAGACAGCAAACTATTCAACACACCTTCCTTCTTCCATTTTCCCCACAATTGCAACCCTGTGGAGATGAGTTGGCCTGAGAAAAAGAGACTGGCCCAAAATCACTCAGTTGGCTTTCATGGCTAACACGGGACTTGAATTCACCATCTCTTGGCTTTCTAGCCTGATGCCTTAGCCAAATCATGTTATCCTGGCAGGACTAACAATCTAAAGTAACGTACCAGCTGTTAAACCAAAACCCAGTTACTGTTATTGCAAATATGATTTCTGTAATGGTATTTGGAAAAGAACTTATTAGGAGACAGGAAAAGAGATGGTGCCCAGGGAACCATCAAATAAGAAAAAACATAGATAAATAGTGGGTAGTAGAAGAGACTTCCTCTTTTCTCGAGCTGTTAAGGAGATGATAGAAGAATTGTTCTTTCAAACTTGCAAGTTTCTGTTAATGTAGCTTTACAATAAAATAGAATTAGCTTATCTGATTGTGTCTCCTTTCTGGACTATCTGGTAAGGCTGATAATTTCTTAAAAGACTTTCCTCTTCCATTATATTTTAATTTTGTTTCCTGCATGTAGAAAAAATGTGGATGAATTAGTCCCCAGAAGTCAATATGATGGAATGAGGAGAGTTTCAGGTTATCGCATCACCCATACGGAGAAGGCAGCGCTTTCCTTGTTTCATGCGACTGTTCATGAAATATCCTCATCCCTTCACTCCTCCAGAATAGATGTGATTGTAACCCCCATCATCCACTCCCTGCTTGTTTTAAGCCTGGCAGATAGATCTGTCCCTTTCTACAAGGCAGGTGGTGTTTTTCATTTTTGCTTTTGGCATTCAATCTTGTGTCTTAGGTCACCTTGTTAACATGTCTCATTGCATTTCCTGTAACGTCCTTTGCCTTGAGAGGAAGGGCGGAAAAATCTGCCAGTGTGATCCATAGCGATGAAGATGGATTTGAGACTTTTGCCTTTATGGATGGGCGGTCGTGGTAATGCTTAATTTAGAGCACTTCCCGAGCATTTTTTGATTGCAATGCAGAGTGTCAGTTGGCAGAAGAACCGGAACTGGAGGAGATTTCTTCTTCATCTTTTCACGGTGTTCTCCTTGGTTGTTGTTTTTTAATCTCCTTTTTTTAAATTTTAGCTCAACCTCCTCCCTCACCTTGTTACCCCTTCAGACTAAAGGAGGGACGGAACAATGTTTGGCTTTCACAAACCGAAGATGTATCGCAGTTTGGAGGGTTGCTGTATTTGCAGGGCCAAGTCTTCAAGCTCCCGTTTCACGGACAGCAAGCGATACGAAAAGGACTTCCAGAACTGTTTTGGGTAAGAAGTGCTGCAATTCCGGTTAAAGTACCTTTGCCTAACGTTGGGGCTGGGGCTATGCAAAGGGGAAATGTTGAATGCGGCGCATGGAGTTCCTGCAACATGAAAGATGCCACATGTTTTGCGTTTGGCAAAGATCTCAGGGAGAAATTTGTCTGTTGCTGAACATAGGGAGGTTTGCTTCCAGCTAATTATAGCATGGAAGTCTGGAGGATAGATGCAGCCCCCTTGCATGCATTTACAAATACTTGGCAGATAAGACTTTTCTGTGTGGGAAGAAGGGCAAGGTAACCGCTTGAAGGACAAAGCAGTAATACCCAGCTGGCTGAAATTTGGAATATCACGTCCTTGGTTTCTGAGTTTGAAGATTGGAGGGAGGATGTTAGAAGCCTGAGTAACCTTGTATGAGCCAGATAGGGCCAGGCACTCATTTGTACTCCACAAAGTGGTGCTTATGGTAAATCACAGAACCACTCCTTTTTCCAGAGGGCAAATTAATCTCCCACAATGTCCTGTTTCATCCCAGTGAGGCATTCCTGCAACAAATAAAGAGAGTAGAGCCTAGTGCTTTGATCTGCTAAGCATTTTTTCCCCTGAATGGAGATTTTCAGTCATCTGTGGTTGTCCCAAAGGTGCTTTTTCAAAAGGCAGCTGGACTTCCTTTGTTTTTCTTGAAGGCATTTCACTTCTCATCCAAGAAGCTTCTTCAGTTCTGACTGAAGAAGCTAAAGAACTGAAGAAGCTTCTTGGATGGGAAGTAAAACGTCTTCAAGAAAAACAAAGTCCAGTTGTCTTTTGAAAAAGGACTTTTTGGACACTTTTTTTCTGATTTTCTACCTTGTGTGTAGATTTTGGAGAACACCAGACTAATAATAATGATAAGAAAGTCAATCTTTGCTTTAATGTGTGGTTAAAATATAATGGCTATTTATTCCAAAGGTGGGAAGACACCTTTGCTTAATTTAATGTAATTATCTTAAAGTACATTTTTTCAAGTGATCTCAACAGAGCAAGCTAACCCAAGATATTGATTTGAGTTTGGAACATTGCCTCTTGCAGAAAATCAAGCCATCTTTGTGTGTGTGTGTGAGTATATGTGTTTTCCCTCGCTGATTATGTGCAGAAATTGACCTATAATCTTCTCTTTACAGTCTGCATGAAGCTCGCTCAGGAGATATCTGCAATGCTTGTGTGCTTCTGGTGAAAAGGTGGAAAAAACTGCCAGCAGGATCAAAAAAGAATTGGAATCACGTGAGTTCCTGAACTGTCATTATGATGTGATTTATATTATTTTTATTCATAGATATAGATGTTCACATTCAGGTATATTTCACCCCTCTAATGTATATGCTTATGCATTATTACATGAAATAATTAACAGTTAAAGCCAAGGAAGATTCACAACTTTAAACAGAAAAGGCAATATAAGTCAGAACGTAATCAGTTATTTAATGTGGATGCAATAGATCAATGTTTCTCTTGCTGGCTGGGGAATCCTGGGAGTTGAAGTCCACCCTTTTAAAGTGACCAAGTTGAGAAATACTGTACTAGGTGATTTGTTTCATAAGATAAAATATACATGTTGTGCAGAATAACATCTTACTGGTCATATCCTGCAAAAGTAAAGGATTCTCATCAGTTAATAGGCATTTCCTTTCTCTTGAGAAGGATTTCTCAACCTTGATAACATTAAGCTGTGTGGACTTCAGCTCCTAGAAATCCAATGCTGGCTGAGGAATTTTGGGGTTTCATCTCTACACAATGCAAAATTGCCAAGATTGAGAAATATTACTCTAAAGAAGTCTAGCTGAGCTGATAGAAAATTATCAGAGTCCTCACCAAATCTTGATATATTACTTAAGATTTTTAAATGTTATACTAATTGGTTTAAAATATAAACCCATGTATACTAGTAATACTAGTAAAATTAGGGGGCGCAGTGGCTCTGTGGCTAAGACACTGAGCTTGTCAATCAGAAAGGTTGGCAGTTCGGCGGTTTGAATCCCTAGTGGCGCGTAATGGAGTGAGCTCCTGTTACTTGTCCCAGCTTCTGCCAACCAAGCAGTTCAAAAGCATGTAAAATATACAAGTAGAAAAATAGGGACCACTTTGGTGGAAAGGTAACACCATTCCGTGTGTCTTTTGGCATTTAGTCATGCTAACTACATGACCACAGAGACATCTTCGGACAGCGCTGGCACTTCAGCTTTGTAACAGAGATGAGTACCACCCCCTAGAGCCAGAAACAACTACCATATATGTGCGAGGGGAACCTTTACTTTTACCTTTTATACTAGTAAAGTACTTAATCTTTCTGACTGTGACTTCGTAGAACTATTTTGAATTTTACAGAAACTTGTTTTACAACATCCAGTAAGAAATGGCAGATTTTATGTGTTATATGATCTGTTTGTAATATCTCTAGCCACCCAGAGTTGATTGACATATACATTTAATATGTGGCATTTAAATAAATGAAAGAGAGAGAGAGACAGAGAAACAGAGATAGCAGGAAAGAAGGAGGGGAGAGAGAGGGAGAGGTGGTCAATAGCTTTGTATCCAATGTATGCGTGGCAAATAAGCACGTGTGCTAAGCATGTGCATAGTGGCTGGGTTCATACAACAACTAGTGAATCCCATTTTAGCCAAGTGAAGGCTGTTATTTGGATGGAGTCTCTGTGTTAATAAGAGGGCTACATTCAAATTGCCAAATAAATGTATATTGAGACCCTTTTAGGGCAGTTTTTCCTATCCTGGCATTATTCAACCACATCAAGACTGCAGCCATCAGAATTGGTTAATGATTGTCAAGCACAAAGGATCAAGACCATACTGTTAACTTGAAATTCAGTAGATTTATTGTCAAGCCTGCCTATACACAAGAATCTAGTCACCAATAGCAGTAACTGTGAGAGAGGGATCTTGGAGTCTTAGTGGACAACCAGCTAAATATGAGCCAGCAGTGTGCAGCCGCCACCAAAAAAGCTAATGCAATCCTAAGTTGCATTAACAGAGGGATACAATCAAGATCAAGGGAGGTACTAATACCACTCAATAAATCCTTAGTAAGACCACACCTAGAGTACTGCATCCATTTTTTTTAACCACATTACAAAAAAGATGTTGAGACTCTAGAAAAAGTACAGAGGAAAGCAACCAGGATGATTAGGGAGCTGGAGACTAAAACATACGAAGAGCGGTTACAGGAACTGGGCATGGCTAGTCTAGTGAAGAGAAGGATCAGGGGAGACATGATAGCAGGCTTCCAATATTTGAGGGGCTGCCACAGAGCGGAAGGGATCAAGCTATTTTCTAAAGCGCTTGAAGGCCAGACAAGAAATAATGGATGGAAACTGAACAAGGAGAGATTTAACCTGGAAATAAGGAGAAACTCTGACAGTGAGAACAATCAACCAATGGAACAGCTTGCCTTCAGATGTTGTGGGAGCACCATCACTTGAGACTTTCAAGAAGAGATTGGACTCCCATCTGTCAGAAACAGTGTAGTGTCTCCCGCTTGGGCAGGTGGTTGGACTAGATGACCTACAAGGTCCCTTCCAACTCTGATTATCTGTAAGGGATGATTTATCCTGCTATTGTTACCTATACACAAGAATCTAGTCAACTAACTATCGGATCAATTAAATTGGTGCTAGATAAGGGTCAATGGAATTCAAGAGGTGGGACTGGACTTGGACTGCTTGTGGCCATGTAACAACTCTAGCATGATGAGTGTTTAATTCCACACACACTCCAACTGTTCTCCTACACGATGAGACAATGCTAAGAATTGAGAATTTGGCATCAAAGACCCATGGAGTATATAGGGTTGGAAAAGGCTGCTTGAGGGGCCACACTGGTGGATCTTTAGTTAAGGAGGAAAACGAGAAACTTTCCTGCTACTATTGGCAATAGAAAGTTGTGATTTACACAGCACAACAGTGAACATCTGTTTTGAAATGTAGTAAAACTCCTCACTTATGAGTAGATGCATGTCCTGTCTTCCTACTTGGAACATGCCCATGTCTCAGGTGTGAAACTGCTACTTACTCCTCACTCTTGTACTTTTGTTTCTGACAGCATTTATATGCTACCTTTCCATCAAATTCTGGGCAGTTCACAACAGAAACAATAACATCTCCAAACCTGCATGAAATTATAGGGCCACAATTTCCCCTGTGGCTAAAGTTCCTTTGGTAGATAAAACCATAAAATTATAACTCTCAGGGGCAACAGCAGCCAACTTTTCTTCAAGCAGTCCTGTAAAAACTGGGCAAAGAAAGACATACTTTCCTTGTTTCCAGACTGCTGTTAAAGAGAGAACCATTCTCAGTCCAGTAGCCAGAAGATTCCATGAGGTTTTTTTCCCCTCTGTATTGTCACCTTCTGGATCACTAAATCCTGCACAGTAAATCCTGTTCAGGAAGGGCAGTCTCATAATAACTGAAGTCTAATAACCCATATTAGACTTTTGTCAGCTCTGCACGGTAGGCCTGACTAAGGAACCAATGCTAATACATCTCTAGCAGTAGAAAAGGCATGCTTTGGGTCCCATCAGCCAGATTATTCTGACCAGCAGACTCCAGGAGAAGGGCCTTTTTTGCTGGGGGGGGGGGGGGCGGTTCCCACACCCCGTTTTGGCCTGCAAAGTGCTGCAAGAGGCCATGCAGGCTGAAAACAGGCTGCGGGGAGCTCACCGTGCCCTGTTTTGGCTGGCAGGGTGCTGCAGAAGGCATCTGTCCTGTCTCCCCCCCACCCACCCCCAAACCGGCCATGGAGAACTACAATGCTGATCCAGTCCTTGAAGAAATTTAGTTTGACACCCAGATCTAGGTGCTTGCATGATCCAAGACCTGATTAGCTTTGACAAAATTTCTCATATCTGTGCTGATCTTTCTTTTTGTGATCATTGGACTGTAAGTTCCTTAGAGTAGCAGCTCTTGGGGATAATTGAAACAGCTTTTTTATTAACCTCACAGGAGCTTTTCATTTGGCCACCTCAGACTTCCCAGGTAAAAATAGATCTGCGCCTTGTAGTGTAGATCATGCTAAGCCAAGATTGGTGATCCAGTATATTCCTCTTCTACTGAGTAGCACTCAACATGCCTAGAGCTGCTGCCATTCTAGCTTTGTCTCTACCTGCCTTTATTATTAGTATGATTCACAGGAATCTAACAGGTTAAATAAACACGAGGAAGGTGGTGACAGAGAGATCATGTTTTGTATGAGCCACAACAAGTCTGGCTTGAACATTCCTAATTTACAGTCTAGTTCTCAAAGATGAAGCTACTGTAGGTAGACTATAACACTCCTGATTGTGGCTTGTGGCTTGAGTGCTGCTTGTAATACATGTCTTTCTATATTAGGGTGAATAGGTACAGCAGGAATGATAACAGGTGGTTCTTGATTAAGGATCACTTGTTCAGCAACTTCAAATTTAACAACAGTCCTGAACAAAGGATACTTCCAACCAGTCCTTGGAAGTTCTGGCCATTGCAGCCTCCCTGCGGTCATGTGATCTGGGTATTTGGTAACTGACCTGGACCTTCCCAGTGTTGCAGTATTGCAGCCATAGTCAGGCTATTGCGATTTGCAGTCAGTGAGGAATCTAGCATGAAGTCACAGTTGTGGGAGGTCTTTGCTTAATGACATGTGATGATTTATTTAGCAGTAACCAGGAACTATAATCATTAAGCAGTGTGATGACACATGACGTTGCATTTTATTACCACATTTCTTAGTGACAGAAATGCTCATCCCAAACACCGTTATTTAGTAATGACTACTTAGTTAGTAATCTGTCAAACTTCAGTTTTGCTCAAGTTTCTAGCCATTTCTCAACTTTGCCTTAATTAAATTTTTGTCCAGTTTCTATATTATTCTAACTTCCTCACAACTTGCATGAAAATCGGGACATATTTTTAAACATCTCTTTCTTAATATAATTTGGAAATATTCTTGTAAACAGTCTTTCCTCCAATAATGCATTGGGTGGTATTTACGTTAACATAAAATTAGATATTTCATGAACATTTTCCTCATCTATACCTACCTTTCTCGTGTAACACCTTTATAACATTTGGAAATTATAATAATTGTGGTTTGGTTGAATATTAGTTCTAGAACTACAAAATCACCTACCATTGTTTTCTGCTATAGAAGAAAATTCAAACCTAAAAGTTCCAATTTATATATTAGCACTGTTCACTATTTTGTGAAAATCAATCCTTTTTTCTTAAGTAGCATTGATGTCAGGATTCTGGCAGTTATCCCAATTAAATCATGAATCTCGAGCCAAACTTCCAAAACTTAAAAAGGATTTATTGGGAGTTAAACTGTCCGGCATTACCTGGGTGTAGCCAACTCTGAGGCATGTAATTCATTGTCACCCTTGACCCTGGTTTTCCCCCACCCCCTGGGGGTATCGTAATTCATATTCTCCAGTGGGACACATTCATAGCCAAGAGTCATCAATCATTCCAGTTAGAATATTGCATGGCAGAAACTTCAGTCACCTAGTTACTATCTTTGAAAACATTTATAGAATGCGGTTTTGGTTTGCAAGCTGCTGCACTGCACTGGCAGAATCCAATGGCAGAACAAATTCTGAATAAAATATCACAATTTCCAACTGTTTAATTTCTTTGGTAAGTACCAATCACAAACTTTTATTGGCACTAGGGATGGATAGGCTTGATTTAAAAAAATCCATTTTCCTGCTTTTTCTTCTTTTTAGCTTTGGAATCTAGTTTTTTTTTTTAAACTTCAAATCAGCATATTTTCCCATTTTTAAAAATTTATCTGCGTGGGCCTTATTGTTCCTGACTGTACAAAGATATCCTGTTGCCTTTCTATAGGTGGTAGATGCAAGGGCTGGACCGAGCCTTAAAACAACACTGAAGCCAAAGAAGATGAAACCTCTACCTAGTAACAGGATGAAGAGCAATCAAATCAGCAAACTTCAGAAAGAGTTAAAGCGACACAGTATGTTCTGTTCATATTGATTTTTTTATCTGATGTGGGTGGTAGGGTGGCTCAGCGGTTAAGACATTGGGTTTTTCAGCTTGAAATCCTGCAGCCAAGGTTTAAGACCCAAGTGCCTCAGCTCCTGCAAATCCAGCAGTTTGAAAGCATGCAAATGCAAGTAGATAAACAGGTACCATTTCGGTGGGAACATAACAGTGATCCATGTTGCTGGTCACATGACAGCATGAATATCTTTGGAGAATGCTAACTTAATGGCTTTGAAATGGAGATGAGCATCGCCCTAATAATTGGCAACAACTAGTGGAGTAAAATCCACAGGGGTTCCTTACCTTTCTCTGGTGTAATAGCTCAACTATGTTCAGTCAGCAAGGAGGACTTTCAGTCTATTGACTCTTGATACTTAATAGTCAGTCTTGGCTTTTACATCTTGCCTTTAGAAGTAGGTTCACAATCGTACAATGTGTGAATTTTATTTAATTTGTCAGATTATTTTTGTACCCAAGTGAAAGACAATTGCTGGAGGATATTTGAATATTAGTGGTTCTCATGACCAGCCTCAAAAGGTTCTCTGAGCAAACACAATCTGGCTGATTTTATGATCTGAGAAGAGATAATACCTGTTTATTCCAAACCATTATATATAATTTATTATACAAACAGGAGGCGAACAATAATTACTCACTATGCCATATTTGTGCTAACCACAACAAAACTGGTGAGAAAAGGAATAATACAGTATGTTTGAAATAACAATTTTGTGTTTACTATAAACGGTTTGGTCTTTCCCAAAATTGTAAAGTTCAGATTCATTAGATTAGGATTAAATACTAGTAGTTTGAAGAAAAATCAGGAGAAAAATAGCCTTTGTGGTTGCCATAAAAAATGAGAACTTCCTATATGTTGCGTTAAAAATATATAGAGAGAATCTTATTTTTTCTTCATGTTATGTTGCAAATGAAAGTTAAAACAATGAAGAATCAAAGAAGTCTTCAGTCCATCTTTGATAAATATTTCTGGGTTTAAAACTGTTACATAGAATAAAAATTTGATTTAACAGAAATTTGCATCTGGATCTCCTATGGATGAACTAAATGTTATATCTGAAGTAAATTGGACAAAATTGGACAATCATTTGGTGACTAGAAGTGATGTTCAGTCCAAGTATAGTTCATTTGCATTTATTAATTTGATTTACGTCATTTTCCTAATAACATGTCTGCATAATTGCATTATTATACAAATGACGTTAAGTTATACAACATTAAATTCAGATTTAATGGATATTTGGGAATAACAGACACTTCCTCTCCCTGAATGGTGCATTAAATTTATTTTAGTGCAATTATTTCCTTCCTTCTTATAGACTCTGATGCTCACAGCACTACCTCAAGTGCCTCTCCAGCCCACTCGCCTTGCTATAGCAACCAGTCTGACGATGGTTCAGACACTGAGATGGCACCAGGTTCAAGCCGTACACCTGTCTTCTCCTTCTTGGATCTTACATACTGGAAAAGGTGAAAATGCCCCATTTGTGAATTTGTGTACCCTATTATTCCTAGTAGGATCTTGAATTGTTTCTCAGACTCAAGCAGTGAATGAAGATTGATGGATGGATGTGTACAAACATAATTTTAAAAGAAGAGAAATTGATGAGTGCAAGACCATACCTCAGGGGTCTTCAAACTTGGCAAGTTTAAGACTTGTGGACTTCAGCTCTCAGAATTCCTCCTCCAGTCATGTTAGCTCAGGAATTCTGGGAGTTGAAGTCCACAAGTCTTAAACTTGCCAAGTTTGAAGGCCTTTTCCATACCTGAAAGGGACTTGGAGACTTAGCTTTAGACTAGTGGTCCCCAAACTTGGCAACTTTAAGATTTGTGGACTTCACCTCCCAGAGTTCCTCAGCCAGCTCTGCTGACTGGAGATTTCTGGGCGTTGAAGTCCACAAGTCTTAAAGTTGCCAAGTTTGGAGACCTCTGCTTTAGACAAAAGAGAAGGTAGAGAGACAGAAGTTAGAAATGCACATAATTGCATAAAATGTCATCTTAATTACAAGGCTCTGCTGCTTCCGTTCCCTCAGCAATTAGACAGCATTTGCAGACAGCTGATGACTCAACCTGGTGTTTAAGCAAGTGGGTAAAAGTAAGTGGATATCATGCAGAGCATGAATCGGATCACAAGGCCTGTTGTTGTCTTAAGAGTAAAATTCTATGTCTTCAGGCGACTTTCTTCTCCCTTTTCAGTATTAATCCTTTCTTGGACAGGAGTGATGGATGCTGTTGACAATAGCCAGCAGGTGTATTGATCTGCAAATATCCTTCATGCTTTAAGATTAGCTAGTGCTGCACATTCATGTCAGCGGAAATGCTTGCTAAGTCTAGCAAGGACCAGTTTTCTGTAAAGAGAGTTGGGGATTAGGAAGATATCCGAAATGGGTGGGTTTTCTTGCTGCACAATACAGGTAGTTCTCAACTTACAAATAGTTCATTTAGTGACCATTCAAAGTTACAACGGCACTGAAGAAAGTGACTTATGGCCCTTTTTCACACTTACGGCCTTTGTTGCATTCCCTCATGGTCACATGATCAAAATTGGCCACTGCTTCACACCAGCTGGTCATGTGATCCCCTTTTGCAACCTTTTCACAAGCAAAATCAACAGGGAAGCCAGAATCACTGAACAACCCTGTTATTAGCTTAACAACTCCAGCAATTCACTTAACAACTGTGGTAAGACAGGTCATAAAATGGGGCAAGACTCACTTAACAAATGTCTCACTGAGCAACAGAAATGTTGAGTTCAATAGTGGTCATAAGCTGAAGACTACCTGTAAGTTGATGGGAACTTTCTTACACCTGAAGAGTACCTTGAAGTCCATGGCAATTGTAGTGGTCTGCCGGCAGCCTGCAGAGATGGCAGCAGAGTTGGACAGTGGAGACGAACATGGGCCAGTCCAGGAGTCTGGGGAGGACTCGGACAAGGGTCCTGTGTCCGATACAGAGATGGGGCCAGAGCCATCTGGCAGTTATGTCCTGACTCCAGAGCCTCTAGAATCTGACAGCAGCGAGGCAGAGAAACAAGGGGAGCTTGTTCCCAGTGCGTGCATGTGCAGAGCTGCCAGAAGGCAAGAACAGTTAAGACAAAAGGGGTGACTTGGGAGTAAGGCTTGGAGATGATTGGCCCTCCCATAAGACATAAGGGAGGAGCAAAGGGACAGGAACGTTTGCAGGAAGCAACTTCGTTTGCAATGTTCGAATTAAACCTTGAAGCTCTGTGTGGACTTTGTACGCCGGTTTGGGTTTTTACAGTTAATTTGGCACCTTGGTTGTTGGCAGCAATTCAAAGGAGATAAAGGTGGATGCTTATTTCGAGAGACTGTTTGGGGCTCATTACAGGCTGGGAATGAACAGAATTCCCAGCATTGAAATAAAAAGAGAGTTGTTTGGACTAAGCATGTGATTAATTATGGTCTCAGGAAGTCTTGGTCAGAACAACAATGTGCTCTTCTTAATCCCTTGGAGTACCTTCCATCTATAAGATCAAAATTTGGTTTCCCACCTAGAAGACACAAAAAATGTAGCATAGGCCTAAACAAGCTTGGCACAGTTCTAAAACAAAGACAAAATTGTACTTAATTCCACCAAACCTTGAGGGATGGACAGTACTGGCAGTGCACTTCATCACTGAATTTAAGTAGTGCTTTTAGATCAGGAGAAGAAGGCCCACAGAGTAATCATTTTACTGAAAGTTAAGAGTTGTTGCCTTTGATTTAAAAAAAACCACACATCGTCACACTGATACAGCCTTTTGTTTCATTTGGAGTGCTATAAACACGTAGGATCTCTAAATAGAATGTTTTATACTTATCTAATTATGACTTTGAGCAGGAAAACAGCATGGTATGATGATTAAGTTGGTGGCCTGGGAGGACGGTTCTAGTGTGTACTTATCGGGGGAACCAGCTGGGTGACCTTGGGGTCTTCTAAAGCTTTAATGAGACTCAGGCTTTGTGAGAAGCTGGCTAATAAACCGTGCTTGTTTTGATACAGCATGCAGGCACTATAGTTGTATGTATCATTATTTATTTTCATTTTGCATTGATGCTTTTAACCATGTTTGTTACCCAGAGTTGATTTTGCTGATTGCCATGTGAACACAAATAAACAAGCACACAAGTAAACCACGTTGATGGCTGTACTGTCAGAACTAGGCAATTGTAGTGAAAAAACATGCATGTCCAGCAACTTTGCAGGAAAAACGCTCAGGGGCAAAACAGCCGTTTATGAATGGAACAACTTTTAAAGAATTTTGCTATAAGTCTGTATAAGTCATCCCCTCTTAATAAGCACAGTTGGGACCCACAACTCCACCACTAACCAGCAGGTTGATCTCACATGACCGCAACTTGTGTTTCTACTGCTGGCATCTCCCTGGACTCTGCATGTCCATAGGCGCCCAGTTGGTAATCATGTGGCCATGCAGTGCTGCAATAGTTGAAACAGTCATCAGTTGCAGTGCACCCAAATCTTCATTGCATGGCCATGGGGACCCTTTGATGGTTGTGCAAGTGCAAAACTGGCCATAAAATTACTTTTAGAGCACCACTGTAATTTCAAAAGCTGCTAAACAGGGCAATTGTTAAGAGAACTACCTATTAGTCCAATAGTTATCCGTCTTTCCCTGAAAATAAGAACAGGTCTTACATTAAGTTTTGCTCCAAAAGACGCATTAGGGCTTATTTTCCAGTTGGGTCTTATTTTCGGGAAAGTACTGTGCACATAAATTATTTTAAAATTATCTTTAAAATACGGCCCTTACTCTGCTGTTGTTGAGAATAATCCTAAAGATCTGGTTCTTTGGCAAGAGTGTTTATCGTGCTTGCCTTTTTTTTTTTAATCTTTACCTTTTATGCCTTATTTTTTATTGCAATTTCTTTTTTGGATTGTTGTAATCCATCCAGAGGCAGCAAAAATCTGGCGAGATGCAAGTTTAATAAATTATGCAAGTAGTAACAGTTTGATTTGTTTTCCCCCTGAAGGCAAAAGGTTTGCTGTGGAATTATTTACAAAGGCCGCTTTGGAGAAGTCCTTATAGACACCCATCTCTTCAAGCCCTGCTGCCGTAATAAGCAGCCTGCCGCCGAGAAGTCTCCACCGCCGGTTCCTCCATCCTCCACCATCCCCAATCAAGAAGAGTGGTGACTTCCTTAAAGAGATGCAGAAGGAGACAGATGCGACCTCTTCTTCCATCTGTTGAAGTGGCCTTCCTTTTACTTTGGAGACCAAAAGACTTTTATTTTTATTTTCTTTCGAACTGTCTGAAGATGTTTTTTTTAACTGCATCAATTCTACTAATTCAGAGTCCCTTGATATCTTTTCAGAAAAAAAGACTAAGAAATATTGGCCACATGGTGAAGCTGAACGCTGCTGTGTGTCATCTTTGTTTAGCCTCGTTCCCACCCTAATGACTGGAAGGCTGGTGACCATGTGGAGCAGGGGTGATTGCAGCGTATGGTTAAAAAAAAAAAAAGGATGGAGGCTGAAGTAGTGCAATCAAAGCTCTGCCTCTTTTTATGTGTAACATTGATTTAAAAAAGGAGAAGTTTTCAATTGCATTATTAGGGTTGCCATCTTGACTTTTCTCATCATACTCTGCACACATCCCTGATACGGAGTATATATACATTTGTCATCAGCAGTTTTCCTGCTTGGCATAATAAATTTTAGGTAGCCATTTTTTCTGTCTCTATGAGGAGAGGAATGATTTGCTCTAAGGTAGTCTTCCCCAGTGTAGTGCCCTTCAACTATTCTGCTCTTCCAATTCTTCGTATTTGGAGCCTTTCTATAGCTGGGAATTCTGCTGGAGTTGAAAGGCTTGTATTTCCAGAGGATGATGCCATGTTAATAAAGCAGAGCCATGGCATGAATTTGGAAGCTTGTGTAAGACTTCTCTACCATGCATATGATGTAAAGTTTGTGGAGTTCTATGAAAGATGTTTCATCCGAGTTAGTATTTCTGGATAGGAAGAATGCATGTGTGAACTGACAGTTGATGCATTTGACAGGCAAAACTGGTACGTGTGAAGGTTGATCAGACCAAGGGGTGGTACCACTATCTTAAATCATAATTTTCCCCACAAACAAGATTGCAGGTAATTTGTACAGAGAAACATTTTTTTCATAATATTTTAGGATAGGGAAGGGCAACATGTGGTCCTTTAGCTGTTGGAGGGTTGCAGGTCCCACCATCTTTAACTGTTGAGCAGATTGGATGCATTTGACTGCAATAGTTCAACAACACCTGGAGATCCATATATTGTTTATCAAATAGAAAAGTCAGTAGAAATGTTCTCCATTTGCATACGGATTGCACAGCAATATGTTGTAAACGCAGTGATGTGATGACAAAACCTTTAATTACCAAATAGGTTTCTCCTGGTATGATGCTACAGTACCTTACAGGTATAAAACTATGTCCACTTTTTCAGAGTGGGAACAGTTGTCTATTATCCATTTGTAATACTAATTCTTAAAATGGCCTGTAGGCTTAGAACCATACCACATATGTTAGTAAGTTCTTCCTTTTGTTTGAAAACTTCAAAGGAAAGCCATGTTGACCAAAATTCAGGTTTAGCCCTTCTCACTCCCTCCTCTCTCCATATTGTTGACTTATTTCTTATCCGAGTCAGGAGCATTCCAATACTAATGTTTCCCATCACTCTCCTTGAAGATGCTATCTATGCCATTTGAAAAAGGAAAAATTAATATTTTGAATTTTATCCTCCGTAAATATGTGTATAGCAACGCATGGCATTCTTATTTCCACGCCGTACTTCAGCCTGACTATTGGGTGGAATCAATTATTGAGCAGGTTTGCTAGATATGACAGGAGCCCATGCACCAGCCTTGGAGAGGTTGAATTACATAATATATTCTCTTAAAATATTTCAGATTGACTGAATGCCTGCAGAGACCCACTTGTACATTCATGCCACCTGGACATAGTAAATGTTATTCATTATTCTTGAAATTTTGTCCCAGCTGCTACCCTCCTGGAATTCTCATTTGCCCCTCCTTATCCAGAAGTGCCTCCAACTGTTGTAGCTCCTCCTTTGCCCAGACTCCCAATACAGAGCTACTTAGTTAACATCCCTAATGATTACCCCTAATTTGATAATAATATCTCATCTCTCAAAAACCTGAAAAACAAGTTATCTGGTTTCCCTCCAACATCCCCATGCGATTCCCTTTGGTAACTCCCAAGTTCCTAAACATCCCACCATTGTTTTCAGGCAATATTACTGTAATTAATTATTGTATAGTTCAGTAAGGCTCTTATGTCAAACTTGCTTCAGAAATAGGGTAAACTGAAGCCTCATGATTCCTGGTTTTTTAATTGACATTCTGATTACCCAGGAATAGCTTTCTGTTAAAATGTGGCTGCTTTTGGGGATCAAAATAATGGCTTCCCGGCAAGAGTTCTGCTGCTTTTGATTTTTGTTTTACTTCATTTGAATAGCGTGAAAATTTTGATTTGATTCTGCAGTGCACGGTTATAAATGTGCCTGGGTTGTTTTGGTTTTTTTCACTGAACAATGAAATTTTAGTTGCGCTATGTCAGACAAATATGACTATTAAATAATGTCTTCCTATTTTTATAGGGTATCCTTAATTGCCTTTCTTCTATCCCTATCCCCTGTTGTAAATAGGAGACTTATTCTAAAGGGAGGATAAAATAGTTTTTTTCCCCAGACTGACCTAATGCCTTGGCAGTTTTGCTGACTTGGTAAACTCTGAAGGATGCGTGTAGGCGTCTTGGTTATCTTCTTCCTGTTGGTTTCTTGGTTGATGCTTACTCTAGTCAATATTGGTCAACATTTCTGTGCATTTTCAATTACAGTATGAATTATATGTAACTATAATATGGATCATCTCTTCTTCTGTATTTATTTATTTATTACTACTACAGCAGACTGTTCCTCCCTTTCCCTCTTCCTCGAGTAGTAATGCAAGATGAATTGTATGTAGTTATGCACTTTGTATCAATGTAGTAGAAATCTATGGAATCTGTTTTTATACTTTTTATATTGTTCATACACTTGTAATCCAAGCTTTTTTTTAAAACTAGGGCAACAAGCAAATAAATAAATGAATAAATAGATTTATCTAGGGGGGCAAGAAAGTGTATTCTTTCCAGTTGTTGACTTTAGTGATCTCATGGGTGTCAGCTATTTTGAAAAGTGAATAGAAGGCACAAGAGAGTTACTATGAAGCTTGCTCAATTTAATACTCAATACAGGTAGTCCTTGACTTACAACAGTTCATTTAGTGACTGTTCAAAATTACAACAGCACTGAAAAAAGTGTCTTATGACCATTTTTTCCACACTTATGGCCATTGCAGCATTCCCATGATCATGTGATCAAAATTTAGATGCTTGGTAACTGACTCATATTTATGATGGTTTCGGTGTCATGTGATCACCTTTCGCGAACTTCTGACCAGCAAAGTCAATGGTGAAGCCAGATTCACTTAACCATGTCTTTAACAACTGCAATGATTCATTTAACTGTGGCAAAAAAAGTCATAAAATGGGTGAAAATTCACTTAATTGTTTGCTTAGCTTTAGTCTTGCTTAGCTTTGGGCTCTATTGTCACGTGTCAAGGACTACCTGTATTCTATATATTGATTCATAAAGTGGAGATTTGAATATTTGTGGTACAAAAATGGGGAAGTTGTGTGTGGAGGGGGGGCGTGTCTCAATATTTTCCAAGAGATGATCAAGAAATGGCAGGCATGTCATTAACAATCTTGATGGCTATTTGCAGTGCTATATTCAGAATTGTAGGCTGCATGTATTAAACAAGGTTAGGGTAAACAGTAGAAGAGAGTTTCTGCATGCGCCTGGCCCCTGGAACTCTTCATGTTGGAACAGACAATCTCATTGACCGAATAAAAAGCCAAAGGAGTTACCACGATCTCTCAAAAGGTGCTTTTTTCAAGAGGCAACTGGACTTTCTGGTTTTTCTTACGTTTTGCTCATAGCTGAAGAAGCTTCTTAGATGAGAAGTGAAACGTCTTCAAGGAAAAACAAAGAAAGTCCAATTGCCTCTTGAAAAAAGCATCTTTGGGGCAACCATGACCTGGATGACTGAGAATCTCCATAGGCATTCTTAGGATCTCATTTGCCTTTATAATGTTTCGTGGAGAATCCTGTTCACTGAAGTAGTTGGCAACTACCCTGCATAATAAAAGGAACTGCTATTTAGGAGTAGTATCAATCAACTACTCGGAGATCATATAATCTGTGTTTATATGCTATATAATATCGGTGACGAATCTCAGGAATGGAAGGAACATTTCAACCCTCCTCAGTACAGGAATTGAAATTAAAACATCTTTTCATTATCTATGCAACTTCTGTATGAATAAATCTAATACAGATGGGGGAACCAATTTTTTGGTACTCAAATTGCTATTATTAGAACATTTTTTTAATCAAAGATGGTCATGGGCAGCATTTTTGCTCTGATTCTGAAATGAGGCTAGGTTTACAGTGGCAAAAATTGGGGAGGAGTTTTCCCCGAGCAAAGTTCTTGTTAAATGTTCCTGTTTCCAGTTTTCCATTTTCATTAGTAGAAATTGAACCCATTTATTAGTACACATTTTGACTCAGTAGGAATGTCTATGGCATATAAGGATCAAACTTCTGCCTTCCTTATTTGGTGAATTGCCAGTGGTAAACATTGATTCAGAACTTGAATTGTTTGCTTCCTTGGATGTTAAAGAAGAAAACAGTAAAGGATGCTGTTTCTACTGAATACAATGATTTGCAAGCAATCTGTGCCAACAATTTTATGTATTTGTGTGATATATGTATCACATAAATTCCTCAATCCTGAATTTGTTCCCCCCAAAAATACTGAAATTACAAAAAAAAAACACCCACCCCAAACCAGTGCCTTGAAAAATGGTTGCAAGTTGCAATGGAAGAACTATCAACACTATGAGTACTCGTGTCTAGAGATGTCCTTCTTTTTTAAAAACTGGAATAGTTCTGATCTGGCAGCTAAGCTTTATTGCTTTATTTCACTTTCTATTCATGCCCTTGTTTTTCCTATGAAGTTTCATAAGAAGAGACAAGAAATAATAAGGGCTATCAATGCACATGCTGCATTTTCAAAACAGGTGCCATGGTTCTCTTAAGTATACACTCTGTTGCCTGCATAGCTAGCAAGATCT